TATTTATAATTAATGTTAAGACCGAGTCATCGGCCTTAGTGGGCTAAAGAACACAATGTTTGAGTGTTGGCCTTCATGCCTATTTTGTGACATTTCCTTTATAAATTTATGAACTAACAGAAAAGAAAATAAGTATTTAGATTTTTCTAAAAAAACAAGATGAAGGACTAAATTAAGTCTCTCTCTCTCTCTCAAGAAAATAAGTATTTAGATTTTTCTAAAAAAACAAGATGAAGTACTAAATTACGTCTCCCTCTCTCTCTCTCTCCCTCCCTCCCCCTCCTCTTCCCCCTCCCCCACCCCCTCCCTCTCCCTCTCCCTCTCTCTCTCCCATCTCCCTCTCTCTCTCTCACACACAAAGCATTTATCTGAAAACTCTTAAAAATAAATTATCATGTACACAATACAACCCTTTGTTTCTTGGGTATGCTTTGGCTTTATAAGACTAACAATCCACACAGTAGTACCAGACTATGAATAGACTATGCATGAAGTAAAAAAATAAAAATAAAGGAAAGGTGCATGTCTTATGTCTCTAAATGTCGACCACTAATCTCGCTACAAGGATTACAATCCTACTTGTGTGTATCTTATTGCGATATGATATTATGCCCAATCATCAGAGTTGACTGTGGATGAAGAGGATGAGCTGGAGGTGAGTTTGGAGAATGGAAACTCAGTTTCAATGAAAACGACATGACATGAGGTGTATGTTTTAGAGGAAACATGATCATACGCATAGTAAGCGCTTTGGATGGGGGAGTAACCCATGAAGATACATGGGGTTGATATAGGATGTAGTTTATGTGGAGAATAAGGCCTGAGCCAAGGGTAGCAGAGGCACCCAAAACTTTTTAGTTTTGAATAGTTTGGATCTTTTTGGAAAAGACATCGAAAAGGAGATAAATTTTGTAAGGTGGATGTAGGTAATCGATTTATCAAGTAGGCTGTTGTGGTAAATGCGAAAGGCCAATAAGTAACATGAATTTTTGCATGGGAAAGTAAAGCGAGACCCGTTTCGACAATGTGTTTATGCCTTCGTTCAGCATATCCATTGTGTTCAGGTGTGTGAGGTGGTGAAGTGAGATGAGAAATTCCAGAAGAAGATAAGTGAGATTGAAGTTTTGTATATTCTCCACCATTATCTGAAAATAGTTGTTTGATTTTGGTTTTGAAAAAAATTTCAACTAGCAGTTGAAAACGTTTGAATATCGAGGGATTCAGATTTCTTCTTCATTGGGTAGAGCCATATGTATTTGGTGAAGTGGTCAACAAAGATTATATAGTATTTGTAGTGATCAAATGAGAACACCAGACATCAGAGAATAAAAGTTCTAATGGAGCTTTTGAGATGAGAGATGATTCATGAAAAGGTAAGCGATGACTTCTATTGATTTGACAAGAATTACAACTATCAATAGAATTAGAACTAAAAGAAAGAGATGTTGACAGTTGCTTGAAAACTTTATTTTGGGGATGTCCTAGTCGGTGATGCCATGTGGACGAGGGGATACTATGCATGGCAAAGACTTGAGGTGTTAAGGAAGGGCGGAGCTCATACATTCCCTTGGTGGCTGTGCCCTTGAAGAGAGGTGTTTTGGATGCCAGATCCTTTATAACAAAAACAAACGAATAAAATTCGATTAAAAAATTGTTGTCAATCCATAAGTGTGAGATAAAGATAATATTACGAGAAAGAGAAGGAACATAAAGAACATTTTTGAGAATGAAAAGTGTGTGAGGTGTTTGAATAATCACAGAGCCAATGTGAGAGATTTGTAAGCACGAACCATCACCAATAACTAGTTCTTTTGTCCCGTCGTATGGTGCATGAATGGACAGGTTATTTAGATCATTTGTGGCGTGGAAGCTTGCACCACTGTCAAACAACTAGTTTGTTGTGTTAGGTGAGGATAATTGTTGTGGAGCCATGAGATGAGCTTGAGCATTCTTCACCTGCAAATTTCGATTAGGAGAGGGTACAGAAATTGTAGGAAAGAACTTTTTAAATGTTGAGCGGTTGCACATTACATTTAAAGCTTTAATATTTCATATGTCATAGACCTCTAACGATTACACAAATATTGAAGATAACATATTAGTTTTTTTTATTTCTATTAACAAGATCAAGAAAGTAGAACAATCAATGAAAAAAGGACCATCGTTTCCTCAGTCAGGTTTGTGTTCTTCGCTCTCTCCTTTTCCATAATCCTAAAACACCTTCAATCATCTAATTCCTTCACCAATTGCAGCAGCTTTTCATCTTGATTCACGTACCAGCGAATCTGTTCTGCTTTGAGCCTTTGATTTCAGATGGTGAGGATTTACCTTCCGTTCCATTCTTATTGTTCAATTTGAATGATGGTGTAATAACAGAAGGAACTGATAGCAGAAAAACGAAGCAGTAGTTACAGGAAGGTATGAATCATATGTTTTTTGCTTTAATATGTTTACGTTTTACATACACAAATAGTCTTAGAAAATTAGATAATCTTAAAAAAAATTAATTGTTTGTGACTGTGTGTATATGGAGATGCTCTTTAACTGATTTTAATTCAATGGAGATTCTTTAATTTTTAAACTCAAAAACATATCACTTCATATCTCATGACCAAATCTTCTTTTACATTATTTTATTAGGTGTGAGATCCGTATATTATACGAGTTAATTTAAAAAATATATATATTAAAATGTAAGCAGTAAATATTTTTTAATGTAAAACTTTAAAATAAGAAAGGAAGAAACATATTCATTGCAATTTAATATATATTATATTTAATACTTTACATATATAAATATATGATTTTAATTTTAAAAATTGAAACAAACCAAAATTTGACAAGTAGATAATATTTATTTAAAAAATACCAGAAAATGACAAATGTTAAAACTCATGAGAGATTGACAAATGGTAAAAAAACCTTCATTTATTAGAAATGATTTTTTATTTATTTTCTTGGTTTTGCAATATGTAATTTTTTTGTTGTCAAACACTAGTGAAAAAAAGGAAAGGTCCTCTATCCCTTAATATCTAATATCTATAGCATGGGAAAGGAAAATTATTGGTTCAATGGCACTACACATGACGAAGTTGGTCTTCTTACCTTTCACTATCCACCCTCGAAGCCAAAAAAACAGAGTGTAAGTTTCTTTTTTTTTTTAGAAATATTTTGACTTTCTAATAATCATGTTGACTTTTGATGTTTTTTAACTATTCGTATACAGGTCATGATTTGATGATTCATGCAATTCCATCTTTCCAAGTGCTAACTCGGAAACAAAAAATAACCGATGTTCCCAATTAGTAAGTCTTCATATTATTTTTATTTTGTTTATGTCTATGTATGTATATGCTCCAAAATTGTGGATTTATGTTGGTAATTTTTAATTTATGATCATCTTATATGGTTGCAGACCATTAAAAACGAATAATAATGTAGTATATAAATTGAAACACACTTTCTTTTGTATAAAGTCGATCCATGTTGTGCTATTGCTAGGTCAGTTTCATCAAGTATGTTGCATGCTTCAAAATTATTGTTTATCGAGCTATAAGTGATACAAATTAGAGTTAAATCACAACCTACTCAAGTTTAATCAAATTTAGAAGTTAATTTTCAATGCTAGGTTACTTTCTATCAATGTGTTCATAACTTCAATTTTTTTATATAGCTCTTGTGTATTAATTACTATAAGTTTCTTTGTTTTTTATTAACTTAAATTTTTTGTTTTTGGCATCTGTATTGCTATTAGATTTTCCTGATTGCTATATCATATATATATGCATGTAGCCACGCATGTATGTCATATCTTCTTCTTGATAAGGCTTAAAGGCACTTGAATCAATTCAATGATTTTTATTATAATTCCGATATTTTTATGTTTTGATGATAAAATCCTTATGCCAAATGTCAAGCTGATTAGTTCATCTATTAAGTGTTATAAAATTCGTACTTTCTTTTTCCAACATATCTTTGTAGAAACATAGTCATGGAGTATGGAGCATGAATCAGAAGACGAAGGTTCTTAAAACAAGGAGAGAAGAATTATGCTATTTTTTCTTTTCAGAATTGTATGCTACATATGCTTCTACTTGATTGCTTGTGTTGTGTAATTTAGCAAAAGATTAATTTAAGTATTTTATTTGGTATTCTATGCTACATATGCTCCTACTTGATTCCACTTATGTTCACAATGGGACATAAACCCTCAATCTCAAGGAAAAAGACAATACTTGATACCGCTGGGCTAAAAGTCCTTTGGTTGGTAGATTGCATATTTGAGATTTTTTGTGTATATTGTAAAAGCTGATTTTCTTATCCATTCTTTGTAATTATCTACGGCCCGTCGCTTTGCGCAAAAAAACTAATTGCCTCTAAAAACCAATTTCTGAAAGAATAATTCGTACCCGTCGCTTGGCGCGGGTAAATGACTACTATATATATATATATATATATATATATATATATATATATATATATATATATTAACCGTCATTTCGATGGGTTTAAACCTATTACTTCAAATACACACTGGATTTCATTCGGTTCAAATCTATGATGTCTCAATTGCGTACATCACTGCACTTCCACTTGGACTTGCTACCTTGAAGATATTTCATTTAACAATTTATTGAACATTTGGTATGCACATATTTGTTCAAAACAACCAACTGAAACTGAAACTGATAGTTGAAAATCTAATGACAGACAACGTTGAAAGAAACAAAATACGTACCATACCGTTGATGCTTTGATATGCTTTGATTTTCCTTTCTTAAACCCTAATGATAATATGACCTTCATTGCATATCAGTGCTAATTCAACCAGATTACGACAACAAAAGAGACAATTGTGGAAATTGACAACACAGCAAATGAGGACACACGGACCTTTTCAAGTCTTCCAAAAAACAGTCAGCAAATTATATGGCTGCCCACCCGCCCGCACACAAACAAAAGAGCCCAAAAAGAGCTTTTTGAGAAGAACAAACAACACCTCAGCCTTTTAAATATAACTAAATTTACACCAAACAATATATCTTTTGATATCACTAATAAATCAAATCCCATTAACACTGATCTACAAAATTTCTTGTCAAAAAAATACGAATGAACTACAGAACTTTTTCTCCCCACCTTTCAATATTTAATCAAGATCCATTGCCTTCTCTTTTTCAGCATTTTTGCTCGACCATAGCTTTATTGTCCTGTCATGTGAAACAGTTGCTATACTTTGTCCATCTGCAAAACCAACAATGGCACCACAAAATCAGACTTCAAAAATCATACCAATAACGGAATCATTAAAAAACCAGTAAATGTTAGATAAAAAAACACGTGTCAAAATAAAGATATTAATTAAGAAAACGGAGTTTACCTCCAACTACATCAACAGATGTAACTTTAGCTTCATGGCCTGAAAGAACCTTCACGGGCTTAAAGTCTCTAGCTGACCACACCTGAGACACAAATCCAATAATCAATACAAAATAAACATTTCAGCATAAATTAATAGTGATGGATTGATTGTGAATTAATTACCTTAGCAGTCATATCATAAGAAGAGGTCACCAAGAAATATCCTTCTTGAGGGTCAAATTTAATTTGAGAAATAAGATTTGAATGAGCAGGAATCGTGTACAACGATCTTTTCTTCCTCAAATCCCAAATCCTACAAGTATTATCCTCACCTCCCGTCGCCAAATGATACCCATTTGGCGAAAAACTGACACCCAATACCTACAAATAAAAATCACAAATAAAATTATTGTTTAACAATTTTCCAAAATAACAAAAAGGTAAAAACAATACAAAGTCTTACCGGTTTGACATGACCTTCTAATGCAAGAATGCTTCTCCCTGTTCGTAGGTCCCACACACGTGTAAGTGCATCGAGCCCACAAGATGCTGCTAAAGAGCCATCAGGGTGAAAAGCTATTCCATACACACTTCTACTATGACCTTCTTGGAGTAACAACTCTTCACCGGTTTCCGTGTCCCATAATCTCCATGTTTTATCAAAACTAGTTGTTCCTAAATACTTTCCTAATGGATGGAAAGCAACACGAGCTAAACGATCCAGATGACCCTTGAACGTGTGAAGAAGAGTTCCTTTGGTGTTCCATAATTTTGCAGTGCGATCAGCAGATGCAGTTGCTATGTGGTTGTTTGTTGGAGAAAATGTAACATCAGTTGCTCGTTCTGTATGTCCCTTTAATGATGACATCAGCTTTATCTCGGGCATGCTCCATATTTTAGCAACTCCAGTTATAGAACTAACAAAAAAATTATAAAGTCACATTAATCAATATAACAATCATATCACATTAACAGCATAAACTCCAATAACGTTTTAGTAACAAACTTAGCTCTCATTATAGGAAACTTACTCGTAAAACCTAAAGATCAATTCAATCAAGTATCAATCCTAACTTTAATCACAATAAAGAACATAAACACTAGATAAAAAAAGAGACATACCAGGTGGCAAGAAACTTCCCATCAGAAGAAAAGGAACACCCTGAAAGAGGCCTGTCATCTCCAATCTCACTACAATCCAAAGAAAAAGTCTTGGCATTCTCCAAAGCCCAATTTATCTCTGCATCTTCATCTTCATCTGGATCATTCCTCTTCCTTCTAGCTCTCTTCAACCTCATTGCAGCTTTCACCACTGAATCTTTTGCAATTTCATATCGTGCCTTCAACAAAGCCGTAGACCCCTCTGTATAAAACGGATACTGAACAGCCTCTCCTTCAACCTCATACCCTCCATCATCCATTCCTGCTGCATTCACAGCTGCTTCTTCTTCCTCCAAAATCTTCATCAGTCTTTCCAATTGCCCTTCTGAATCTAACTTCGCCATAAGCATCCTCAACCTATCTCTCCTCTCCATCTCTCTTTCACCGAACAGTGTCACTGGTTCACCTAACCGCCTTAGTCTAGACCTTACTGCTTTATCGTTGGTGGGCACTGCTAGTGCTGCAGCACGTTGCTTCATTAAGAAATCTTGTTTTGCTTTCTCCTGTTTCTCTCTAAACAACCTGCTCTCTTCGGAGATTTCGTATTCGGGACCTGACTCGTCACCCTCTTCGTCGGAATCGGCGTTTTCGTTTGTAGTATTTGCAGCGTCGCCATTTGGTGGACGAATAGAGGGAAGAGGGGCAAGTGGACGTGGGATTGAGGGAGGCGGAGGAGGGAGTACAGGGATTGGAGCAATTGGAGGTGTGATTGCGGGTGGGATTAATGGAATCGGAGATTCAACTGGTGCGATTTGAACAGCTGTTTGCGTAGGTGAATTGGTGGCATTAGGGTTAGGGTTTTCCTTGTCGTCGATCTCCATTGTCGATGGGGATTATTGCAGGCAAAGGTAATAGCCTGCGATTTGGGTTTTAGCGTGAATCAGGGTTTCAGAAAAGGTTTTTACTACGAGTATGAAATATGAGGGGTAATTGGAATTGTTTTTTAATTTATTGATTTATTAGGTTTTTGAAAATTTAATAAGTTCAAAAAATTAATAAATTTAGAATAGTTTTTAAAATAGTTTTTTTTAATAGTTTTTTAAAAAAATAAAAAACATAAAATCTAACTTTTTGAAACTCGTTATAGTTTTTTAACCACGATAGTATAAAAAATGATATTTTAAACCATATAATTTTTAATTTAATGACTTATTGGTTTTTATAACTATAAAAAGTCAACTCAAATATTTTTTTGAAAAACTCTTTTTATCATCATCATAAATTAATAACAAATTAATAAACATTTTTATTTAAAAAGCCATCCCAAACATTCCACTAATGATAGTGTGCTAGTTTGGAGGGTTAAAGAAAACAAAAAAAACATGAAATAAGGATTTAGAAAAACCTAATTTAGGTTAACTTTTGTCCTTTATATATAACAACCAAAAAATTATTTAAAAAAATAAATTGGAGTTGACATGTGTAAGTTTGATTTTTTTACGACTAATTATGTTTTTGTCCATAATGGGATTTAAATCGTTACCACTTAGGCTAAACGGTATCATATCGTTTTCACCGATGGTACGTACATATTTTGCAAATTTTGCAACTTTTAAAAATGGTTAGGGTATGGGGTTTTTGTTTACCGTCGACAAAACACACAGAAATTTAACTTTTGCCATCGGTGAGTTTTCACCACCGGTAAAAGAAAGGGTGAGGGGCAGTGTTCACTGCCGGTAATGGTTGCCACATAGAATTGTCGGCGGTGAAAACACTACCACACCCCACAGCCTTAAGAAAAACACCTTAAAAACACATTAAATACTACCAAACCAAAGGTTTGTATTGGTTTTTAGTAAACAAAATATTTTCTTATTAAACCAATTACTTTTTGGTGAATTTAATCATAATCATTAATGAAGAAACACAAATAGAGTCGAAGTTAATAGAAGGATTGTCTTCTTGTAAATAAGCATCGTTTCAGCCCTTGTAATTAACCAAATTCTTGACTTAGTTGTTTGCTTGAAGTGTTCCACTCAAAATATCCTTTGAACAATTCATCTCCTACTCTAGTAAATGGTAATCTTAAAAACAATAGAAAAAAAAAAACTATAATACCATGCCCACTGTTGGAAATAGTGTCCACAGTCACAACAAGTTAGTAATATTACTATTTATGGTAAGGTCCTTTTGGGTTACGCGTAAAAAAAGATTTAAGCAATGTTTAACTATAGAGAACTAATGAGGATTTAATTTGTTAACTTATTAGTCATTATTAAATTAATAAAAACTTGTAAATCCTTAAGGGTTTAAAGTGAAAGATAGTTGTTTAGTGACCAAGCAACTGTTTTAAGGAAATCTTAATCTCATCCCTATATATAGGGGTATATAGTTGGCTTTTGCGGTTGCTAGAAGCAACCAAAAATTCGTCACCGCTCTTAGTCTCTCTTCTCCCAGATTTCTTCGAAGACACGGTGCGTCAGCTTCATTGACACGACGTGCCCCTTCGGAAGAACCCTAAACAGTTTAGGGTTTGAGTTTGTAATCGTTCTCAGGTTCACACGATCATTTCTATGATCTCATGAGTGATTATCGGATCAAAATGTAGCGTATCACCTACATGTTCTTTGTTAAATTTCGCATTTCCAATCATTGTTCAGCATATCGAGTATTGACGCTTGCATCCGTATAAAGCCTAAAACAGTGTGGCCTTGATGCTGGTGTGATAACTATCGTTGCAGGAAAAACTCTATCAATGGTAATAAGTATTCCTTGTAATATCCAAAGTCTATTACGTAGACTCGAAGCATTCCTCCCAGGGTTTTGGACAACCCTAAACATTGAGAGTGGTAAGTTGTGCTTATTCTCAGGCATATAATCAAGGATTATGATGATTGTCAAAATTGCAAGGTTAATATACTATCTTAGTGGAAGATGATAGAAATCGGCACCCCGTGCATTCTGACTAATTCCTCGACATACGTCCTTATCAACTTCTCTATTTCGTCCGTTTCTTTGATTAACGGGAAGTGGCAGATTTAGTCAATATGCGGACCATTACCTGAATAAAATCAAAACCACTAGGTTTCTTGAGTTGCTTTGGTATGAAGTCCATTGACGTTGGTTCCCATGTAACGACCCAAATTTTACAAAGAAAATTTTCATTTTTAATTAGTCAACCATTTTTCATAAAACATAAAGATTCCAATAACTGTTTTCAAAACCACCATCATTACAGCATTATTATTTTCAAAACATCAGAGTGTCCCCCAAACCAGATCGGAAAAGAGAGATAGAGTGCACGCCGCATCATCACGCCTTGCCTTTACCCTTGGGTTCCGATGTACCTGAAACAAATCCACAAACGGTAAGCTGAAAGCTTTGTGAGTCCCCCCAGAGCATACCTCACACAAACCACATATCACATTAGCTATAAAGCTACCTCTACCACATATCACATGTCAGTTAGCCATGAAGCTATCTCTACCGTTAGCCACAAATGCTATCTCTACCATCAGCCATAAAGGTTGTCTCTACCATTAGCCATAAGGCCATCTCTACCATTAGCCATAAAGTTATCTCTACCGTTAGCCACGAAGGCTATCTCTACCACATATCATGCACACATACATATCACACCTCTACATAACAAGTAAACCAACTATCACAAAATGGGTCGGCCTTGGTGCCTTAGACCCATTGGTATGGTGAGAAAACTCACCTCACAAAGCTGAATCGGCAACTGAATTCAGGTATGCCCTATGCTGCTCTCCCCAACTGCCTATAACAAATGAGTAAATAACTCAGCATAATCCCATAAATACCCCCAGGGTCAACCCTAGTCAAAGTCAAAGTCTATAGTCAAGGTCAACAGTCCATATTGACCTTGACTCGTCGAGTACAATCATTCACTCGTCGGGTTCCCTGCTTAACTCATCGACTCGCCGAGTCACCCGAGGGACTCGTCGAGTTCCTTGATGTTTACGGCCGTAAACCACCAACCGTACACCCTTGGCCGTAAACCCTTAGCCGTAAACCCTTTGCCGTAAACCCTTGGCCGTGAACGAGGAAACCCTCTCGACTCGCCGAGTCTCTTGCACGACTCGCCGAGTCCCTATTAGTCCATTATGTTTACGGCCTCTTCCAGTGGGACTCAAGGCCCCAAACTTCAGATCTATACTCTACTAATGTGGATAACACGTAAAGTTGCAAACTTTACGTGCATGCAAAGCCTCACATGGCCATAATCACCAAAACTAACCTTCAAACAAGGTTTTCATGCATGGAGAGGAAATGGGCTTAATAAAAGGTGCAACTTTATGATGTTTGGGACCTAAGAAGGTCCAGATCTGGAACCATATCCTTGTGATAGGTCCAGATCCAAGGTTGCTTCTATTTCCTCAAAGTTTGTCACAATTCTCAAATAGAATCTAGGCTCAAGGTAATAGATTCATACCTCAATTCAATGCCTAAGAAGAAATAGATGCTTGATCTAACACTTCTCCCTTGATACTTCCTCTTCAAACTTGGAATCCTCCCCAATATCTCAAGGATAAGCTCCCAATTGATCTTACTTCACACACAAGAGGGTGTGCGACCGTAAACTTTCTTCTATGGTGCTAAGGGAGGCTACTGGGGCGGATAATGACGTTTATATAGGGGGCAAACCTAAAATTTAGGGTTTTCTTTAAACAGCTCGGACTCGCCGAGTCGACCTTCGACTCGCCGAGTCGGTCCCGTTCCGCGTTTCATGATCTCACGACCCTACTCGACGAGTTGACCTCCCAACTCGCCGAGTCCATGCTTAAATCCTTTCCAATTCAAACCAGGTGTTACATCCCACTTTTATTCGGTTATTCCTTATCATTACCCTAATCCCGAGTGTTTTCTGATGTTCCACCTTTGGTACAAGTTTCTTATCTGTTCACTTAAATGGTAATCTCTACTTTCATGCATGTTTACCATTTCCGTTTTCTTCGAATCTAAGTACATATGGTCAGATCCTGGATGGATGGGACACTTTAATCAGTGAGCTTTGTCCATGACTATGCTCTTGTGTTCTTTATACTTAGGTGTACAGAATTTGCTCCTAAAGTATCACTTCTTGTCATCCTTGAGCTTGACCTGTTTATCCATTCTTCACAGGGATTCACTTGTGAAGCTTTCCTCTCTCAGATTCTCAAGTAAAACTTATCAAATTTGAGTTGTAGGTTACTGATGGATATTCATAGTTAATACTCATACTTAACGTGGTTTGGTACGTTCTTTTCAGCTCAAGAAATTTGCTACTATATTAGTCTCATTACGATGTTTACGAATCTCACACGTCATGATAACTTGGATTTTTTTGTAAATAATGATTTTACCTTATTTAAAAATACAAATTTCTTATGAAATGGGACGTTACACATGGGGTTACTGCCGCAAAAAGAGAAAGCTCATTCTTGCTATCTGGTACAGATTCCTTTAGTGTTGTTGGAAGGCGAGAAATGACATGGTGTTTAACAGGATCCACATCTCCCCCGCTAATTTGGTTGATAATGTGGTTACTTTGATGTTTAGTTGGGTGAATGTTAAGGGTAAATTTGGAAATTGTAATTGGGCTAATTGGTGTTGTTGCCCGTTAAACATTCTGTAATTTTTTTTTCTTTCCTTTGCCCTGTGCTTTTTAGACAGTAGCCTTAATTCATCTGCCGACTCCACAAAAAAGCACCTGCTTGCAAGTCATTACCTTTATCCAGATCATCATCAGAAATGGGTACATGAGACCCACCTTCATTCTATGGCAAGTCATTATCATCATCATGAACACCATTATTGCTAAGAACGGCTTCACCATAACCACCTGGTTTATCTTGATCTTCATCTTTGTCTTGAAAATGTTCAAGCTGTTCATCAGCCAACTCATTCTGAAGTACTATGTTCCTGCACAAATACAATTAAATGAGAAACTTTCATGTTTGTTTATCTAAAGACCAT